AGTTTTATGAATCTCAATAATGGTGGAGAAAAGTCAAAAAACATATGAATCTCAATAATGGTATATTTATGATGAAGTTGGTAATTATCACGGGTGGTTACAACTTGCAAGTCCAGTAGGGTTTTGTATTTAAAACTGGAAGTTGATGTTTCATTGGATTTCAAATTAGGCGTAGTGAATTGTGGTTTTCTATATTTGTTAGATTTCATTTATCTGAATCCGTACTTCCCATTTCTATATTCAGCATTATGTACTTGTGACAATTATATAGAAATTCCCCATAATTTATTTATATAATAGAATATTTTACATTTTTTTAGGAACTGGAGAGACCGAGAGATATAACAGGTTTGGTTAGTATATTCAATTTTGAATACATTGAAACCGAACAGTGTTACAATCGTTCGGCTAATTCAATTCCATTTCTATATTTAGCATTATGTACTTCTGACAATTATATAGAAATTCCATAGAATTGATTTTTATAATAGAAATTTTACATTTTTTTAGGAACTGGAGAGATATAACAGGGTTGGTTAGTATATTTAATTTTGAATACATTGAAAAAAATTACAATCGCTTGGCTAATTCAATTCCATGGATAACCGAATTACAAACAAAATATAACTGTTAATAACCGATTTTGAGTTAACAACCTATAAAAAAATACAAATTGGATACAGAATATATATCATAAAAACTGAGAATGGATTGTAAAAATCAATAACCGAATCGTAAAAACAAAAAATCATAAGTGGTTGGTTCGAATAAAATAAAAATGCATGTATATTGTGCAGATATTTTTGGTTATTCAATTAACATACATAAATTAGGAATACCAAATGGGATTGAAACTGGTCAGAGCCAAAAATAATGACCGCGCGTGGCGACGCGGCAAATTTAAATTTATAATTTTTCCTTAACAAACCTCTACTAACTAGTAGTAGCGGCGAGTAAGGGTCGATCCCACGAGGAGCAGGAATTAAATTGTGACAATCTCGTATTAACTGAATTAAACTAGGAAAGCAATAAAAGGTGGGGGGAATTGGTTTTATAAAAATAAAAATAAAAATAAGAAAATAAAATAAAAATCTAATAAAATAAGAGAAGTCCAGCTTTCGGTTCAGTTATCACCCAATCTAAATCTACCGTTAATTAATTTCGACGCTTTCTTTAAATTGCTAATGAA